AAGTGAGCTATCATACCACAGTCAACATCTCTTGTTGTTGTTGCTTTTAATTATTTCAAAAAATAGAAGACAATTGCATAAAACAATAATTATTAAAATGTACCATTGTGCTTATGACATATAAAAATGTAATCTATATAATAATAATAGCACAAAAAGAAAGGGAGGGAATGGAGTTATATCAGATGAAAGAAATAATACCAGATGGTAACTTGAATCCACAGGCAGAAATGAAGAGTATTGGAAAGAGTAAATACGTAGGTGAACATAAAAGACTCTATAAATATATTTTCTCCTTTTTTATCATCTTTAAAAGTCATAAAATTGTATAAAGCAAAAATTGTGATGCTGTATCATTGGGTTTACAACATATATGAAAATAATATCACAAAGACTGGGGGAGGAGTGTAACTATATTCTAGCAAAGTTTCTGCATTTTACTTGAATTAAATTACTATTACTCTGAAATATATTGTGATAAAATACATATTGTAATCTCTAGAGTGACCACTAAGAAAATCACTAAAATATATGTAGTTTAAAAATCAACAAAGTTCTCCTGGGCATTTATCACAGAGGAATGAAAACTCAGGTTCACACAAAAACCTGTACCCAAATATTCATAGCAGCTTTTTGTGTAATATCCCAAAACTAGAAACAACCCAGATATCCTTCAGCAGATGAATGGTTAAACAAACTGTGGTACATACATTACCATGGAATACTACTCAGCAATAAAAAGGAACAAGCTACTGATACATGCAACAACCTGGAAGAATCTCCAGAGAATTATGCTGAGTGAAGAAAATTAACTCCAAAAAAAAAGAAAATTGAGGTATAGATGGGGCAAGTACTGACATCTAGCCAGTGACATCCTGGGAACAACATCCAGAGTTGGTGACTGCAAACCTGTCCCTTTTTCTACCACATCACTTTCTGTCTGTCTGCCTGTTTCCTCTCTGTTAGCCATCCCAGCATGGATATTTAATCTCTTATTTCCTAAGGTGAGAGTTATTTTACAAAGCCCAATTTGTCTGGTGAGGGATATTTCTAAGGGATTGAAGGACAGTCATCTAAGTCTTGACTGTAACAGGGTCATCAAGTGAGGCCCTATCAGCAATGTGGAAGTTAAGAGTTAAGTTTCGTACAGTAATTTTCTTATAGCTCTACAATATATGTGCTAGATGTATTTAGTAAAGTATTCCTTAACTCCTTCCCTCCCTTCCAAGAAGATCTGAGTGTAGGAAAGAGGAAATTATATATTTGAGTAAAAGTACTTGCAGAAAATGGCTGAAAGTTCAAAACTAAATATTACCCAATATTTATATTTGCAAGTTCTCAGAGAGGAGTTTCCATGAGATGAAGTTGTTCTTTGCAGCTGTTGACTTCCTGGTATAAGTTATTAGAAGCTAGAAATTAAAGTAATAATAAGACTTAGTTTTCAGATACAGCCAGTCAACATTTCAGTGGTGTCTACAATATAAATACAGTCACACCCCACATAACGTTTCACTCAACAATGGACCACATATGTAACAGTAGTCCCATAAGATTGTAATGGAGCTAAAAAATTCCTATTGCCAAGTGATGTTGTAGCTGTCGTGACATCATAGTGCAATGCATTATTCATATGTTTGTGGTAATGCTGGTGTAAACAAACCTATTGTTTCATCCCAATATCAAAGTGGTGTTTCTCCCTCCAAACACCACCTCTTTGATCCAACCAATGGGTCAAGGACTTATAGCAGCTTTTAAGGCCTACTACCTGAGGAAGACCTTTGCCCAGGCTATTGCTGCAACTGAGGAAGACACTGATGCAATCCTGTAAGGATTACAACATCTATGACTGCATCAAGAACCTGCTTGGGCTTGGGGTGATGTCACGAAGGAGCGTATGAATGGCATCTGGAAGAAGACACTCATGAGGTTCATCCATGACTTCAAAGGATTTACTAAGATGAGGAGGTTGCAAAAATCAACAAGGCTGTAGTTGAGAAGGCAAACATTTTTAACTGAGGTGTGGATGAGGATGACACTGAGGAGCTCCTAGAGGTGGTTCCTGAAGAATTGACTAAGGAGGAGTTGGAACTGGAACAGGAATGCATGGCTGAGGAACAAGCAAGAGAAAAGGAAACTGCAGAAGAAAAAGAAGAACCCCCCAGAAAATTCACAGTGAAGAGTTTAGCAGAAGCTTTTGCAGACCTCCACAAGCTCCTTAAAACATTTGAAAACATGGACCCCAACAATGAAAGGTTTTCATTAATAGAGAGGAATGTTCATGGTGCATTATCTGCTTACAAGCAAATCTGTGATGAAAAAAAGAAACAAACCAAACAAACCACCATGGACATATTTCTGAAAAGAGTGACACCTCCTCAAGGAGAGCCTCAGGCAGGTCCTTCTGTATTCCAGAAGAAGGCATTGTTATCGTAGGAGATGACAGCTCTATGTGTGTTATTGCCCCTGAAGGTCTTCCCGTGGGACAAGACGTGGAGTTAGAAGATAGTGATGTTGATGATCTTGACCCTGTGTAGGCCTAGGCTAATGTGTGTATGTTTTTGTTTTAACAAAAAAGTTTAAAAAGTAAAAAAATAAAAAAATTTAAAAATAGGGGAAAGCTTATAGAATAAAGACGTATGCAAAAAAAAAAAATTTTTTTTTTGTTTTTGTGAGGAAGACCGGCCCTGAGCTAACATCTGCCAATCCTCCTCTTTTTGCTGAGGAAGACTGGCCCTGGGCTAACATCCGTGCCCATCTTCCTCCACTTTA